CCATACCTGCAACCTAACTAGAAGATTACCTATTTAAGCTCTCTGATTATTAGCTAACAAGAGTACGACTAGCCATATATGCAACTTTTGGTTACCTATTTAAGTAGTCTGCCCTAGGTTCCACACTAGCTACCGTACCTGCATCCAACTATGGGGGATACCCATTTAAATCCTCTGGCTCTATTTCTGTAATATGCTTTACCTTTACACCCTTACGGGATTAGCAATGCCACATAAGAACCCTAAAACTTTAGCCATATACAGGCATTTATCCTTGTAGTAAACCTAACAGAATAGTACATGTCTCACACATGTACTCACCTGCATATTCGGTAGTGTTACAAGCTAGCTGGGGCAGCCACGGCTAAGACAGCTTAGCTGGCTAAGCTAGCCGATACAAATGTATTGGCTGGCTAATATGGCTAAGGGTATGATATTCACGTAACAAGTATATATAATAATAGACGAATCAAATCGAACGCAGATTCATATATATTGTTAGAGTACCAAAAGTCTTTTCTTCGAAAAATACTTTTTTTATTTCGTATTGCTGTTTTATATTTATTAAAATACTTCCAGATCTTTGAAAGATCTGTCATATTTTAGAAGCGTTAAAGTTTTTTTTTTTATTGCCAGAAAATCAGAAATAAAAGTACACATTATTTTTATTATAAAAGTTTAAAGGTTCTATATTTCAAATAAACTAATCAAATAAATACTTCGCTTTAATAATCTATATAAAATATTTTATATTTTTAGCGCAAAAAAAAAGTATCAAAAGTTTCTTTTATGATCTATTTGGTCTATCTGAAAAAGTTTAAAAAAATGTTCTAAAAAAAAAAACTCTAGCACTTTATACAATGCTTTATATATTTACCAAGTTTATCGTTCTTATTTAAACTATCTAAAATTCAAATTTTTTTTTTTTCATTAATAGAAATACAAAGCCATTTTCCTTGTGATTGTTTGTAAAGTATGTGCAAATTCTAAATTTAAGCCAAACCCGGGTATACACTACAAATTTTGGAGTTTTCCTTAAGAAATAATATATCATGAACTGTGTCAGAGTCTAATTGATTTCTCTTATAGTAATTGTATTGCCTGCATTTGAAAAGATTCTTTCTGAAGGAACTGATGTGACCAGAAAAGCTAAATATTTTCTTGCCAGTTGAGAAAGAAAAGGAAATAGTGATTTGTGTTCATTTCACCAGGTTAATGGATTAACCTTATTATATTCTTTGTCTTTAATATGATATTTAGAAATTTGAGATAGATTATCATAAAGAGCCACTTCTTCTTCAACCGAGGATGAATTTTTATTTGCAATTAAAATATCATTATTATCATCATAAAATGAAGCGAAAAAAGAAGAATTAGTGCTTGATGGTTCTGTTTCTTGAATAAAAGTTGATCATTCCTGGTTATTATATAAAGTATAAAGATAAGTAAGAGTTTCATTTTTTTTAGCAGATATTATATAACTCATTTTTTTGAATCTCAGATCTAAAAAAGAAGCTATAAGACTATTAAGTGACAGTTCAAACCATCTTGATAGCATTGATTCATTAATTTTATGGCAACAAGCTTTTACTGTTATCGATGTTATTGTTGAATAAAAATCTCGTAAATGGCGTGAAAGCTTAATAAGAGTAGGTATCATCATTCCTAAAGTAGGATATTGATTTCCTCCAATATATCCTGTTGCTTGTGCAAAAGGATATAAAAGTTTTGCTAATTCATCTAATGAATTCCATTCTTCAGTTGATAAGAGAGCTTCTAAAATTTTTAAACTATCTTGCCTTTCTTGTTGATTAACACTTTGCCTTAAATCATCAGCTAACTGTATAATAGCATTACGAAGAAGAAGAAGGTTTTTTAAAAGATTGTAAGTTGAACTCCAACAAGTTCTAGTATCACTTGAAAGGGGGTTGACTGGATGCTGTA